ATGGAAAAAGAGGAAAAGCGAATTTTGAACGTACACAAATTGACTATGAGTTGGGAAGGCATATGATTATTTCTCAAGGAGACCTAGTATGAGGTGGCATAAAGGGCAACACGGACATGGATTTTAGGGTTTAGAAAAGAACCTAACATCTAGGCCCGTGCCTCCCCCACTTCAGAATCAGCTCAGTGAGTTTCCGGCCTTTGTGGCCTGAAAGCCATGAGTGGGGTGGTATATGGCCCCTAGAAAGGCAGGCCTCAGAGGAAGACTCTGTGGGCTCACTATGCAGAAGGAGAAACTGAGGCTTATGGTCAGAGAAGTCTGGCCAGCACTTGGCAGAGACTCCTGTCCAGTCCCCAGCTTCATGGCAGATGGTCTGGCCTACAGGCCAAGCAGGTCACTGTCCCTGCCAAGGAGCATCTTCTTTTCTGTGGCATTAGGGCTGAGAGGGGTCAGAGGTCACCCCTCTCTCACCCACCGAGGGCCATGGAAGCCAGAGAAATGGAAGAAGGTTCTAGCATGGCTTCAGATTTGGAAAGCCCCCAGACCTGGAACCAGCAGCAGAGAAGTAAGTATATGCAGAACAAAACCACGCCTTGTCTTCCAGGGACTCTCGGTTCAGCCCCAGGGCTGACAGCCCGGGAGAGATGCGATGCCGGGTCTGGTGTGGGAGAGGCAGGAAGCCAAAACCACCCCTCCTGGCCCAGAGACAGTGCAGCCCCATCCTCCTCACTCCCTGGTGCTCGCACCAAGTGGACCCAGCTTCTCCTGGGACCTAGGGTCTCAGGGAGCTCGGAGACCTCAGCTGATGGGTCCCTTGCAGAAGGCCCCGTGGGGTAACGAACAATCCTTGCCAGGCTGGGGGAGTCAGTGCCACTCCACTGAGGTTGTGAACCGCAGGCACGCCACCCCCCTCCCCTTACTCTTTGGAACTCTGGGAAGGCTGGACTTTCTAGTAGCTGTAAAGTTATGTAACGTTCTGTTTCTGGAACAGAGAATGTGGGTTATGTACCCTAACAGATATTGCTGGGCAGAAAATGAAATAGCAGCCCACTGAATATATTATTCCTTTCAGTTAAATTGGGTTCATCGTGTGCAAACATAAGAAAAAAAAATGGACTTTGCCTTTGCACGGAAAGTATATACTTCCCATCCCCAAAGTTCTCCAGTAGGTGTCATTTAATCACAGAGGAAGCCTGGAAAGTCCCTGAGTAGGCTGGTGATGTGTTCTGAGGACAAGATGGAACATTCTTTCTGGGTTCCAGATCATTTGGTATGATCTTGGATTTTAGGGCATGGGTTTCCCCCCCCACCCACCCATCAAGAGAAAATATACTTTCTACTTAGCTAATTCCAGCTCCTTCTTAAGCAAATTAGGGGGCTTTAGGACACGAGCCTGTTATCTACAATCCTGGTCTTACGAGCTGCTATTTCTGACCCATTCTCCCTGGATAGCCCAGGCTCCAGACCGCTCACCTCCCAGAGGCAGGAACCAGAGAGGGTGTAGGCAGGCCCTGTGGGTTTGGGCCTTTTCTCTTTTTTAAGATTCTTTGGAAGTTGTTACCACATTTAGATAATCAATTCCTTCGAAAACAGAGGAGATAGAGACAGGGAAGGGACAGAGCACCCTGATAGAGAGGGGCAGGGAGACAGAAATACAGACAGCTGGTGGGTTGGTGGAGATGGAGACAGACAGCCGGTGGGTCAGTGGAGATGGAGATCCTGAGGAAGAACAGGAGAGCAGGAAGGCCAAAACCTGCTAGGGAAAGTCATTCTCATGCAAGCCCAGAATCTTGTGGTGTTGAATCAGAGCCTGAACATCTCTGGCTCTCTTACCTCTCAGATGTGAGCACTCAGATGTCCAATGGCAGAGACAACCTTCCTGTCCCAGGGACCGCTCTGAAATCCCCTCCTATGACAGCTGGTCCATAGGGTGAGATCCAGGGCACGGCTCCGGCCACAGGGCAGGGGTGCCAGCAGTTGGAGCTTGGGCATCCCCATGTGCACCTGGCATTTCTGGGCATCTCAGGCCAGGGGAGGCCACAGAGGCGACAGGGCAGAGTGTGGAACTGGGAGCCTGGTGCTGGCTCTGCCAGTGGCTGCTCCCCGCCATGGTGTGGGGATGGCAGGGGAGGAGAGAGGGTCAGTAGCACCAGCAGCCCAGCACTCTGAGGGAGAGACTCCTTTGGCCAAGCCAGCTCCAGGACTTAGGACGATGGTGTCTCCCAACAAGGCCCAGGCCAAGTTGCTTGCTCAGAGCCTTTTCTGAAATCAAGTGGATTTCAGACTCAGTTAGACGGGGTCATGCTTATGGGGACAGGGACAAGGCATGGGGTCAGTGGGAAACAAAAGTCTTTTGAGAGGATCTTCTGGATTAAGTATGTCGAAGAGCACCATGAAAGAAAATGCATGTGTGTGTGAGAAGGTGAGTGAGGCAGAGAGAAGCAGGCTGGGTGGGGTTTAGGCCTCTGAGATTTCCCATGCCCCTTCCTTCATTTGTTCTCATTCCACCCTTAAAAAAAACCAAGAAGGCTGGAGCGTGTGAGGAGGGCTTCGATAGGCAGAGGAGACTGGAGAAAGGGGAGCAGAGGGTCTAGGAGCCTGCTTGTGAGGGGTATGAAAAGGCCCTGGTGGGAAGGGGAAGGGCAGGCCAGGAGGGAGAAGGACAGTGCCTGCAGACCCTCAGCTTGAGCCAGGAGGAGATGCCACCCCAGGAAGCCTCCACCTGCCCCTGGGCTAGGTGTCAGAACAGGCGAGGCCCCAAGGGAGTTGGGGCGGGGTGGGGGGGTAGGGGGGCAGGCCTGTGCCCATCTGGAGAAAGTGACTTGGTTCCAGGAAGAACGCAGTGTTTGTAGACAGTGTCAAAGGCAGACAGCAGGGCTCAGAATGGCCTTGGAGTTGAAGGTATGTACCCGCTGTGGCCGGCAGTCCAGAGTCCTGGGAGACAGCCCATCCTGAAGGTCTCTGCCCAGAGTTTCTCCCCAAGGTAAGGCCATCTAAAAGTTTCTTTAGTATTTAAGAGGATGCTGGGCATTTGGGAGATGGAACATAACAATGTAGCTTACTGGTTGGAAGCCACTTCTGGGTAAGGATTAGACTGGGAACAAGACTGATGTTTGGTGAGGAGAACCAAGGAAACGGTCCTAGGACCTCCCCTGTGCCTAGCAGTGATCCAGATGGAGGTCACTGGCCGTGTCCCTGAAGCAGGTGTGTGGCCACTCCCGATGGCCCTCGGGGGGTCCGGCTCCAATCTTGGAGCTGCGGGAGATCCTGGTCATGCCTGATCGACAGCTATGGGAGGCCGGCCAGCAGGGCTGACCCAGCTGGGGATCGGAAGGCAGAGTATCACCCAAGGGACCATCGTTTCAGAGAGAAATGAACCAAAGGTCCTGGCCCTTGTGGCTATTGAGCAGAGTGAGAATGTGAATCCCAGAGCTCAGGGGCCGAGAGGCAGCCCCTCCCGAGTCACTCCACTCTCAGTACAGGACACGGAGCATCCTCCTTACGACTCCGGCGGAGGTGGCCGCCATGGAACCAGCGTTCATTGCCACACCCCTATACCAGCTCTTAAAAACTGGCATTTGTTTATCAGCTAACTAGATGGCCTCTGAGCAGGACCAGACGACCATCAGCTGCCTTTCAGCAGGAAGGGCTCTGCTCCCAAGGAGCTGGAAGACCCCCTTCAGGATCACCTTGTTCAACTAACTTACTTATTTAAAATGACGAAATCAGGTCTGGCCATGCTCTCCTGGTTGCTTATTGGGGGAACCAGCTTTGCAGACTGGTGGGCGCGCACAGCCTTTCCATTAGATCACAGAATTCTTTCTTCAGAATGGTCTGTGCAAAGCAAAAAGCAGTGCATGGTAGAGAAGAGTCCCCTGAGAATTCGAGGACCAAGACAGAAGCCAGCTGGAACCCAGGATGGTCAGGGCCCGAAGCCTCGCTCCCAGCCAGGTGTTGGGGACGGGAAGCGCAGGCCTGCTCAGTTTGACCAGTTTCTCTGTTTTGGCCCTTTTCAGAGCCTTCCTAGGAGAATCTGCATCGGAGGGAGGGGACTGTAGGAGGCACAAACACCTGTGGGGGTTAGACTCTCATCTGCTGACTATGGAGTCCTCCTGAAGCTATCACCCAGCAAAAATAGAAAAGAAAGAAAATGGAGAAAAGGAAGAAAAGAAAGAAAGGGTTTCGTTCTAGCCGGGACAGGTGGAACCATTCAAGAAGATCGGCTGAATCACTCTGTTTATGCCACCTGGGGGTCAGCGAAGTTTGATTTCTATCCCAGGACAGGTCATAACCCCACTGTAACCACAGAGGGAAAATGTGTCTGCACTTACTCTAGTCTGGTTAGCTTGGGTTCAAGCCAAACAGCGAGCGCTATCTCCCTAAGCACAGAATCGCATCTTCAGGAGGACCCGGCCTGAGCAGCCCGAGAGGCACAGGCATCGACCGTCCACAGCTCTAGGGTCAGTGGAGCAGCCTTGATCTCTGACGTGGTGATCAGTGTTGTGGTTAACCCAGATTTCTCAACTTTGTTCCTGTAATTTTGAAGCTAGATCATTTGAAAACAAAAGGTAAGCCCTGAGCCCCTTTCCTTCCTTCAGCAAATATGAAACATGTACTACGTGTCAGAAATTGAACATGGGTGAACAAGGAGGCAGGATTCCTCCCATCGGGGTGTCCCTTATGGTCAGCGTAGCCCTTGAGGTTGGGACTTGGAGCACAAAAGCTAAGGTGCCTTGCTGTGAGGGGAGGGACATAGGCCAAGCATGAATGATCTTCTCTTATCGAGGCAACTCATCCTTTGCTCTAGCTTTCCTTCAAGCCTAACCTTGGACCCTTTGGGCCAGAAGTCCTGGGTTTTTGGAGCTTCCACAGACACCTCTCTGGTGGGGAGACATAGAATCTACATAATTAAGATGCTCTTTGGGGGAATTCGTTTGCTCACTGAAGTTTGGACCACTACCTTGGTCCAAAGCCCAGGGAGGTCACCGCACACATCCTACCTGCTTCCTAACGGGTGTATCTGATGTCAGCAGTATTCCCACGGGAGCCAGGGGACGGCTGGCCAGGTACCCCACACTCAGCAGCAGCAGCTTTGTGGGAGGGAAAGTGGCCGTGGTAGACGAGGGTCGCGTCTCCAGGGAACACACAGACCGGCAATGTTGGTAGAGTCCGGAGTCCGGGTTTATTCCCGCAGTAGGCTCCTCCTTATATATGTTCATTGGGGAGTGCCCCACCTTGTTTAAACAATGACTCTTGGACTAGACCTCGGGGCCTCCAGAGGGAGGGTACTTTGTTCCACTGCAACCGTCTTCCAGTCCCCTCCTAGTCTCAGCTCACTTCCTGGAGCCCCTAGCAGAGTGGCTGATGTCTTGGTTGCCTGCACTGTGGTTTTTTCATTGTTTCCAAGTGTTTACACTGGGAATCAGGAACGGGGAATGTGTCCTTCTACAGATGCCTTCTCAGAGCCTTCTCGGTCAGGGAAGGGCGGTGGCCAGGTGTTGCGTATCAAGAGGAGCCCCTCCAAGTAAGTCACATCACATGGGTCTTCTGCTGGAGAGAACATCTACTTTCAGCAAACAGGTCGAGGAACACATTAACCCCTGGGCTTGGTGAGCCCCCCTGTCGGGGGGCAAGGTCCACATCCTCGCCCCACTTAATGGATCTGGGAGAAAGAGAGGAGAACACCGCTCCCCTGCCCCGCCCTCCCCCCTCCAACATCAGGGCTCACCCTGTGTTCCAGGTGAGAATGATAAAATAGGGAAAGCAAGAAGAAAAATGTGGAAATCACCAGGAACTGATGTGACTGGATCCATCCTCGCTGGGATAGCGGGGAAAAGATGGATCTGGAACTCGGAAGGAAGAATTGCAGCGCGTGCCAAGTGTGGCTGAGACGGCGCCCCAGGGAGGCCACCAGGTGGAGAGGAGGGGTCCCTCAGCCATTGGAAGGGGACTCTTATTCCTCTTCCCCAGTTCCTCGCTGTCTGACTTGGGCCAGTCCCTTCGCCTCCGAGTCGTGCCTGACTGTGTGATAGGAAGGTTATGAAGCTTGCCTGGTCTTCTCTCCTATTTATTTACTGGAACTCCTGCACACCAGGGAACACATGCTGCTAGAACTTTCACTGTAAATACAGTCAGCAATAAACACACTGTTGTGTGAATATAATTAATGAATAAATAGACCTCTCTTGGTGGTGTGTGATTCTACTAATAAGGCAGGCAATCCAAAACATTCGAAATCCAGAGTTTCAGAAAAACATGGCGTGAAAATGCTTTAGAAGGTCCTGCCCACGTCCGTGTGTCTTGAGAGTCCCTAAAGAAAACTCACTGGGAGTTTTTCTGCTTACTGATGATGATTTTGTCTTCTCCTATGTCATCATTTTTTTTTTTTTTTCTCCTTAGAGCAGGAACTGTTGCTCCAGAGCAAGATTTGGGGATACTGAGTTAAAAGGGGGAAATTTTATTACTGAGGTAAAAGGGGGAACTGTCTCAGGATGCCTGGGTTGGTTAAGCGTCTGCCTTTGGCTCAGGTCATGATCTGAGGGTCCTGGGATGGAGCCCCACATCCGGCTCCCTGCTCATCGGGGAGCCTCCTTCTTCTTCTCCTGCTTATGCTCTCTCTCTCTGACAAATAAATAAAAATCTTTTAAAAAGTCGGAGGGACTGTCTCCCAAAGGTGTGTTCTTGGTGCCTAGGAGTCACACAAGTCACTGTGGATGAAGTGGGAGTCTCTGGAAAGACTCGTTTCCAATCCAAGGGTCTGTTTTCTTTTGGGGGTTCACTGGGTCTTTGGTGTTCTCTCTCCTCATTCATATGTGCTCTATAGACGCCAACTCTCAGGGGTGTGTGTGTTCCAGAGAAATCCAGCCTGGGGCTGTACACTGGGGGACCTCTCTCCTAATTTTCTGGCTGGTCTTCCTCCAGGTCAGAAGGGGCAGTGTGGCATGCCCCGAGCCTGGGCAATTCACATGTGCCCCGAGATGCAGGCCTCTGGTCCCCAAATAGGACCCTCCTCTTCCACCAAGTCAGGCGTGCCTTCGGGGCGTGTGATGGCCCACCCAGGCCTCCGCCATCACGTCCAATGTTCAGACCCCGCTGTGGCCACTCATGCCCCCCCTGCAGTCGCCCACCCCTCCTCGGCCAGCGTCACGGCCATCCCTGAGGCTGCCGTCTGCACCCCCCGAAGCTGACACCCCCAGCTCTCAGTGTCCTGCAGACTTGGTGGATTACTCTAGTGTGTCACCTCCTCTGAGCCCAGAGAAGCCCCGAGCCCGGCTGGACTCGGGGTCTCCACCCTCCCTTTGTGAACCCAGGCTGCAGTCCCTGAGCCGGTCTCACCCCCGCTGAGTCTGCCTTCGGGGTGACTTCTTCTGCAGGCGGGTCTTCATCTGTTCATCCCTTCAAGTACACACTCCTGAGGGCTCTATCTTGCCCACCTCTAGCCACGCCCCAAGACACCAGATCCTTGGGAGACGCAGCTCTTTCCCTCCCTGCTGCTGCTTCTTTGTCTCACTTTCTTCCCTCCGCCCCTCTTGTCTAGCTCTCTGCCTGCTTCCCTCCCTCCCCCACCATCATTCCTTTACAGATTCCTTCATGACAACCACTTGTGCCAGGCCCGGGAGACACAGCAAGACCCGGCTACCTGGAGTCTAGCAAGAGAGACACACAGGAAGCCAGCTGCGACAGAAGCAGCCGGAAGATTTTACTTGTGATCAGAGCTTGTGGGGGGAGGTGCAGGGTGGGGGGTATGCACGTCTATGAGCACCTAAAGCAGGGACACCTCATCTTGACTGAGGAGTCACAGGAGGCCCCTAAGGAGGGAAGGATGGACGAGAACCTTACCAAGAGAGGAGAGTGGTGGAGGTGGTCCGGGTAGGGGTCAGAGTGGTGAGAAAGTGCAAACCCCAGGGGACGGCTTGATGACTGTTTCACACCATGAAATCCAGGTTCTCAGGACCTGGATGAAGAGACGGGTCACTACCAGTACCCCAAAGCCCCCTTTGCACCCCTTTCCCATAACCATCCTCCAGGATGTCCCCAAGGTAAACTGTCCCCAGTGTTGATTCAGGGGATTAAATCAAATGTCCCTGCAAAATAGGACAGGGGACTGTTGTGACAAGGCAGACAGGTACTCAGAGTGCTTGCCATATAGTTAAAAGATTATCTGACCGATTTCATTGTTTTTACATTCCTCTATGTGTGGAAAAAACTGAGTCAACAAAGTGAGTTGAGTTTTTTTTGAAGGTTTATTTAGTTATTTTTCTTTGAGAAAGAGAGAGAGAGTGAGAACATGAGAAGGGGTAGTGTCAGAGGGAGAAGCAGACTCCCGACCAAACAGGGAGCCTGCCTAGGGACTCGATCCTGGGAGTCCAGAATCATGACCCGAGATGAAGGCAGTCGCTTACCAACTGAGCCACCCAGCCACCCCGAGAGTTGGTTTTTGTTAGTGCCAAAAAGTATGCAGGGGCCAGAGGCTCACCTAGCTCGGGTTTGCTGGACTATGGACTGTATTCTGGATGGATTATGACCTGCCCTAGTCACTTTCTCAGGCTCTGAGCAGTAGATGACAAATCCAGCATTACCTTCAAGAGAATCATCATATACACTCATCTTCAAGAGAAGCATCATACACACTCAAGCTTCCAAATCGTAATGTCTGGGCCCAACCACTTACTTATGGTGGAATTGTGGACAAGCCACTTAACCCCAAGTCTGTTTCTGCAACCCCCAAATGGTGACAGCAATAGACTCTAACTCGGCAGCCATCATGAGCACGGAAAAAAGCAAAGGCCATTCAGTTGTTCATGCGAAGCTTGGTACCCAGGAACAACTCAGTAAGTGGCAGCTACAAGTTAGTAAAACCAGACATAGTATGTTGCTGGCGGACGTTTAGGAAAGCCAGGTGAGAAGAGAGCTGGGGCTTCTCGGCTGGAAACCACAGACACGTGTGGGCAGGACAAAGGTGTTAACCCAGGCCAGAAAGGGAAATCCAGCTCGGACAAAGAGAAGGTCCAGAGAGGGAAAAGGAAGTCATTCTCATGTGTTTGGTCAAGTTCTGTCTTAATAGCAAGTCAGCCTGCCTGCGTACTCTAAGTATTGCCTGAAGAGAACAACAGAGACTGGCAGGATACGTGTGTGTGGCCGCATGTTGACGAACAGAAAGAGACAGATGCATTTGGCCAAGGAGAGCCGAGCTCTGCTGCCGATGGAGAATCCTTACTCATGGGCGCGCTGGAAAAAACCACCCCCTCTCCTGCCTTCTGCCGTGCTGCAGAGGGCCTAGGGAGACCCAAGCCCTGCTTGTGCTGAAGGAGCAGGACGGCAACACCCTGGGAGATGGGCTTCTGCTTCATTGCTGGGCGCTTGCTCTGCCCCTTTCAATGTTCTAGCATCCCTCGGGGTGAGCTCCTTGGGTGGACACCCAGGGCTGAGAAAGCACAGTCCGAGGGTGGTCACTGTCACTGCAGCCCGAGGAGGAGGCACAGAGCAGGGCAGTCCTGTGACAATACGTAGCGAGGGGACAGGAGATAGGTCATGGCTGCTTCCTTCTTTGATTGCACCTCCAGTAAACAAGTTCTCAGGGATTTGAGGCAAGAAGGCTTAGGCAAGCCAATACATGTGGGGGAGCGAGGGAGGGTTGGAATAAGTCGTATTGCTTACTTTCATTCTTTAGCTAAGCTGAGGTCTTGCAGAAAACCCATCCTTCTTTCCAAAAGGAAATTAAAATGAGATGGAGCGGGGACAAGTGCAAATAATGCATGCAAAGTTAATGCAGAATGGCTTGAAGACAGGGGAAGGGCATTTGGTAAATGGGTGGGGAAATATTCCCCTTGTCCAGGAAAGTCTGTGACTGCTCTCTGGGGTGACAGACCTTGAGAAGAAGAGTAGGTATGCCCAGAACAAAGGACCTACCAGTAAGTTCTTGCAGGGACCGAGACTCAACCGGATCTAAATCACCATCTTCCCATCGGGCTCTTTGTTTTGAGTCAGTTGCCTTGAAAAGGGGTCTCCTCTCCCTCTCGATGGGAGAGACCCTGGG